CTCGTCACTCACATTGCACGTTTTCACCACTTGAAATTACTCGTCGTGAGGCATAACCGATAGCACGAGAAAATCAGCTCCGCTCCTGTCGAGATTCGAACCGAGGCCTGATCTCCGAGTCTGCTCTATGAGGTTGCCACTTTTTCACTGAGCCACACAACTCCTATGTCGATATTCACTTACTTATGTACCTCTTATATGAAAGATTATAATCTGGAGTCACTGGTAGTGTCTCGGCGCTAAGCTACGCGCAGCGACACTGCCATGGCCACTTCTTCTTCTTCTTCTTCTTCTTGTTATTGGCCTCGCAGCCTATGCAGGCTGATACTGGGCCATTGAGGTCTACGTAAATTGAATCGAATCGTAATTGGGAGTGCGATGCACCGGCTACCTCGAACCGGGCGAGTATAAAGGATGATGCAATCAAAATGGTGGGGCGCCCCTTCAAACACTGGACGTCTGCGGCTACGACGTTTCCACGCCGCACGGCCGCACGCCAAGACGGATAAAGGGACTATCGAAATTGAATACGACGGCACAGTCCAAGCCGGCAACGCTTTTCAAAAATATAGTCGAGGTGACGCAACACCCGAGACGAGAGGGAACACGTCCACCTCGGTTGAGTGGTTCTTCGGAACTACTGCCGTGGCTACTTTACGTAAGCCGGCGAGTTGCGTCAGATCGAAATTATCGGATCTCAATAAGGGCTGAACCGGTTCAAGTTCTAAGTGTGCTCAATCGATTGCAACCGGTCTATCTAAATATATAATGAAAGTATTTAATTATGATTTGCGCTAATACCATTTATAAAAATTTTTCGCCGTTTTTAGCCCTTTTTAGCCCGCGCGGACGGTTAATTTGAGTGGTGAAAACGTGCATTTTACTCAGTGAGTATGACTCCGTCTTTAGGTCGCAAACAGGAACTTTTCCGTAAAAATAAGTGGTTAAAACGGATTGCACTCATGCAGGACACGAGTATATCTGAGTGGTAAAAACGTATACATTACGAGTATTTTTGAGTGGTAAAAACGTAAATTTGAGTGAAAAAACTTATTTAGCAAAATACTCATTTAGCACTCGTCACTCACATTGCACGTTTTCACCACTTGAAATTACTCGTCGTGAGGCATAACCGATAGCACGAGAAAATCAGCTCCGCTCCTGTCGAGATTCGAACCGAGGCCTGATCTCCGAGTCTGCTCTATGAGGTTGCCACTTTTTCACTGAGCCACACAACTCCTATGTCGATATTCACTTACTTATGTACCTCTTATATGAAAGATTATAATCTGGAGTCACTGGTAGTGTCTCGGCGCTAAGCTACGCGCAGCGACACTGCCATGGCCACTTCTTCTTCTTCTTCTTCTTCTTGTTATTGGCCTCGCAGCCTATGCAGGCTGATACTGGGCCATGATCCGGTCTGTTGTTCCTTTAACGAATGGAAGGAAGACTAGTATCCTTTCGTCTGGTTGTGTGTCAGGGTTCGTTGTCTTGTTTGCATGTTTATTGATTACTTTTTTATGTAGGTCGAAACCTACATAAGTCTTCGGTACTATCGCAGTACTGTCGAATAAAGCCGAAAAGTCGGCCAGTACTGGCTGTTTAGAGGTACTTTACTCTTGACATGCGGTGCAGCGCTGAGGATAAAAAATCGTTTAAACTTATTAAACGAGGAGTACTCGCGTCAAAACCTACATAAGTCTTCGGTACTATCGTAGTACTGTCGGATAAAGCCGAAAAGTCGGCCAGTACTGGCTGTTTAGAGGTACTCTTGACGTGCGGTGCAGCGCTGGGATTAAAAAATTGTTTAAACATATTAAAATGGCTGGTGGTATCACTAAAACTTATCAAGAACTATAGAACTCTTTGAGTACTAAAAAACGGCACAAAAAAAATTAATTTTTTGAAACTTGAGGTGCTAGCTCTTTTTTTAAAATTTATTTTAAAATATTCACTGACCGGAACTCTTGTTTTAATCTATCAAGAACTCTAGTACTCTTCGAGTACTGTAAGATTCCGTAAAAAAATCGACTTTCACGAATGTTGCGGTGCCACGCGAAGTTAGCACCGCATATATATTTTTGTAACGATGCACCTCCATAAATGCATCGTCCCCGGCAGGAATAACTCGCCGGATGCCGCTACGGTGACCCTC